CAAACATCCCAGTGGAAAAATCAATTTCTCATGCATTAAAAATAACTTGATAACCAATCTGAGAAAGAAAGAAAAAAAAAATCCTGACAGCAAAATACAAGTGCACAGATGAGTTTAGACACGTTAAGAAAACCCCCAGACCTCGACTTTAGCCCATGCTGTTGTTTGCATATCAACTCAGCTCAGAGATGAAGAAATCAAGCAGCTTATGGGTGACAGGAAAAGAGCAATGGTGACATGCAGCCAGTGTATAAATATCACTCTCCGGGGCTAAGAACAGGCTCCTTATTGAGGAGAGCCACTGTTTGTAAAGCGTAGCCCCTCTGTTTCTGCAGGCCCTCGAGGGGCCTGAGCCCGCTGACAATGCCCGCCATTCTTACAACTTTACAGCCCCAGATGACTGTGTCAGCGGCCCGCAGGCTGAGGACGGAGTCCCGTGACCAGCCCCGTCCTCAGTCCCGGCCCACGACGAGAACCAGCCCCGTCTTAAGGTGTGTACATCCCAGCCCACCGTCCTGGACTCCTGCAGACCTGTCACAGCCGTGTTCCATCCTAAAGACTTTACACATTTCTGCACTTTTGTCTTCACTCGTCAAAACTAATTCAAATGTTACATTTCTGCACTTTTGTTTTCACTCGTCAAAACTAATTCAAATGTTTGTGATGCAGAAAGCATCCAAGACGATATATGGGAGAGTTTCAAAAAAATGATCAAATTATGTTTATTATAACTGAAACAATACTTTTAACTGTTTATTTAATTTGTTGTTTTTTTTCCTGCCATTTTAACCAATATGTTTAACGGTTTTCCACAACCGAGGTAGGTTCCATTTTAGAACATATATCATTTTCCATTGTGAGACATATGTACATATGCACACACACACACACTTTATATATAAACAAATTATTGCCGACTCTGCCACTATTGACATAGATGCACAATAACATTCTACCTGTTACTGTTATTGTACCCTAAATAATAAACATCCCAAAGTGTCTCAACCTGCTAGGCGGCACTGGGTTTATTATAAACATCGTCTGAGGTTATTAACGTCCGTAAGTTTAACACCTCATAACGTTTATGTGCTAAACTCATCGGCTAGCTCTGCTAAAGATGGCCTCGTTCTCATTACGGCGCTGTGGGCAAAGCCCAGCATTTTCCTGCTCAATGTACGGTGTGTGTGTGTGTGTGGTAAACAGAATCAATGAACTGTGACAGGACGACGTTTCTAAAGAGTTACGGTCGGTCGTGATGTCATGCAAAGTCATGTTTGAATAATGACCATGGCTCAACGGCAGTGTCTCGCTATTTCCAAAATGAAAACGACTTCAGAGAGGTGATGTTTACATACACTTAAATGAGTCCAAATATAGTGGAGGATTTTACAGGCTCTCCTGTCATAACTTCACTTTAAAAATATCTCCATGTTTCACCTGATACAGACCACGTTCTCATTAAAGGACGAACCCAGATATTTCATTTTAGGTGCAACAACCAGACTCCAGCTCCAGTTTCCTTTCCATCCAGGCCAACTTTTTTCCTGCTCCCGTCTCTTACACCAGCCACAGTACACACCACGGTACACACATTTGCATATTTGTAGCTACATATATCTTGTACAAGTTTTCCAGCAGAACAGAACAAAGGTAAGGATTTGTACATGGATTCTGTAGATGACAAATCTGAGGCACCGTGTTGGAATTGTCCGACTTCGGCCCAAAATAGCTTTGAATCAATCCACCGGCAGACACGTATCTGTGCTCTTAAAAAGTATAAATGGTCAATGCACAGGGCGGATCAATGGGTGACAGGATTTCAGAGGCATCAATATGGACATACTCTTTGACATAACAAACACGATGAGTTACTGTATATCAAGTCAAAAATAGATTACTATTAATTCATCTGTGGCTGATTTTGTGTCATTCTAAATATTTATGCTACTTACATCTATTCTGAAAGCATGTATGAACAAAAAAAAAGACTTGAAATAAAACAACCTACAGTAAGAATTTAATTCTGGAGTGACACTGCAGTTTGTATTTAGACATGAGTCAACTTTCACTTCTGCTCTGTTCACATGTGACCAGTCAGTATGGACGACAACCATCAGCTGAAATCCTAACCTGTAGAGGGGGCCCTGGCATTTTTACGTCAGACTTTATTTCTAATTTATTGTACGATCTAAACAAAACAACATGAAAATAATCATTTTAAAGTGACTAAAGCGACTCCTTGCCATCTGTGAACTTTGCTTCTCTCCTTTTAACACACTTGGCTGCTGAGTCTGTCTGCCAGCAAACAATAGGTGTGTGTGAGAGTGTGTGTGTGTTGTGGGACCTCTGAACACACACACATACAGTGGTCTGCTGCCATGTAGGACAGAGTATCTACAAACTCCCTCCATCTAAAGAGTTCATTCAAAGGTTAAAACTGAGAGAGAAACGAAGTGAGAGGTGAGAGGCCACGACGTCCCACCAACTCCAGACACCAACACAATTCAAGCAAAAATAAATAAATAAATAAAAATAAATAATATTAATTTCAGTAAACTTCTTCAAAACAATGGAGACCAACAACCACCATCTGGTACGGTAAATGTACAAACACACAAATCTGCTTCAACTTCCATATTTATAAAAAAATAAAGTAAAAAAAACCCAGCTTTACTCACAACGCCAACGAGGAGAGCAGATAACAATTACTTTTGTAGTTATTTAGGACATGAAATATATGAACCCATCTGTGGTCCAAATATGATGGATGGAAAATGTGGGGAAAAAAAACAGACAAGGGCATTTAAAGGACAAAACAGATAAAAAACAAAAAAAAAACAACGGTGAAAACAGAGAGAATGAATGGAAGAGTGAGTTACTTCACGGTCTCAGACTGTGTCAAATGTACAGAAAGTTTCCCGACCAAAGTTCAAACATAAACACACCCTATCAGGAGAAACGCCATCTATAAACCACCAGCCGTCGTTTGTCTACGCTGAGTTCTGTCACAAAGTTTCCAGATTCATTCACCTGCTTTAGCGTTTCTCAAAGTGTTTTAAAACTGGTTTTGGAAACACCTCAATAAGATATGATTATGACACTGCAAAAATGCCTCTCTCTCTCTCTCTCACACACACACACACACACACACACACACACACACACAATCCCGCCTTACATTTTGTGCAGCAGAACTGCAGACAAATGCAGAAAGAAAAGAGAAGCAAAGACAAAACACAGAACCCAGGCTGGAGCAGCTCCACCTTAGACATTCATGTGACTCTCCAACCATCACCTGACTCTCTCTCTCTCTCTCTCTCTCTCTGTCTTTCTTGGAGGCTTCTTCCAGGCGCAGCAACCTAGGAAGTCTAAAGTCTAAGAAATTTACGTCCAAGGCAGAGAAAAAACACATTCAGGAAAAGGAGATGAACTACTTGGTGTGTTTGTCTACGTGCTGTACCATCTTAAATGCATCTTAAATCTACACACGTGTAACATTAGCTCACAGATAGCTGACAACAACACACTGATAAAGTGAGCCTTTGACCAAAGCCTTGGTGATAACACTCACCCCACTGCGATGGGAGGAGACAACCGCCCGCGGGCCGTGCCACCGAGTCTCGGCCATACACATGGCTTCATATTTACATGTGAATGCAGAGAGGAAGCACAACGCCGAGAGGAACGGACTTATCATTCTGCACATCCAAACTTTCTTTTACAGACAACAGCAGCGTTCAGGGGCCCGAGGTCCTGAAAGAGCCACTACCAAACAATCTGGGTCATCAGTCTGTGGTCCTTGCCACACTGCACTTATCAGAATTTCATAACCGTAGTATCTTAAGTTTGATTGTACCTAAGGAAACTTTTTATAAGTGTTTGATAAATAAAATCCTGACCCACATAGCATGTGTCCCAGCAAACAGAAGCCAGAACTGATAGTTGTAGTTCTTTCTACAGGCTCTTTTTTTTAACCTCCACCACTGTAATCTATGCAAGTTTAATGCTCAGAAAATCAACGCAATTCCAGTCAATTTAGCAGTTAAGCATTTCGATACAATCTAGTCGCCACAAATTGACAAAAAAAAAAAAAAAAAAACCAATACCAAGAAAAACAAAAGGGGGGGCCAAAAAGCTCGCACCAACTTTCCCTTAGTGTAACATTAGCTCACAGATAGCTGACAACAACACACTGATAAAGTGAGCCTTTGACCAAAGCCTTGGTGATAACACTCACCCCACTGCGATGGGAGGAGACAACCGCCCGCGGGCCGTGCCACCGAGTCTCGGCCATACACATGGCTTCATATTTACATGTGAATGCAGAGAGGAAGCACAACGCCGAGAGGAACGGACTTATCATTCTGCACATCCAAACTTTCTTTTACAGACAACAGCAGCGTTCAGGGGCCCGAGGTCCTGAAAGAGCCACTACCAAACAATCTGGGTCATCAGTCTGTGGTCCTTGCCACACTGCACTTATCAGAATTTCATAACCGTAGTATCTTAAGTTTGATTGTACCTAAGGAAACTTTTTATAAGTGTTTGATAAATAAAATCCTGACCCACATAGCATGTGTCCCAGCAAACAGAAGCCAGAACTGATAGTTGTAGTTCTTTCTACAGGCTTTCTACAGGCTGACAAAAAAAAAAAAAAAACATCCATATGCAGGAAGACATACAGTGGGGTCCAAAAGTCTGCGACCACTTTTCCATTACACAAACGTTGCTCGCCCTGCCACACCCAGAGTAAACACATCTCAGCCATATTCATGTATGGCATGACAGCAGCACATCCAGCAGAGCTTTACCTCAGACGAGATCATCAGAAAAGCAGGTGCATCAAAGTTTTAAGGATTCAAAAATCCTGATCGTCATCCTCTTAGGAACCTACAGCTGCACAAACAGTCGCACTACAGCGGTAGCTTATGAGCAAATCATCTGCGGCAAAGCTCATTATCACACAGTCAAAGGTATATGCTGTTTAGATTTCAACTTACTATTGTGCGCAGTCGATGAGCTGGTACTCGTTGGATCTCTCAAAACATGCCTTCACTCCTTCGTCGTCCCACAGCTTCTTTGCGTGGTCAAAAAACTCCTGCAGAGAAGGAGTTCAAACGGTTAAGGAACAGAATCAACACAAAGTTTCTTCCTGCAAAAACAGAGCACATTATAAATGTCACGTGGGCACGCCCCACACTTTGGGAACCACTGCCGTAGATGCTGACCAAGTTCATGTTCATTTTTCCAGACAAGCCTGAACCTTCCATAATTCCAACACATCCACTTCCTGTTCATACGTTATCCTTCAAACTGCTCATCCTAAGCTGTTCCTCTCATCTGATCTACAGTACAAATTTCAGTGTAATTTAAAAATTAAAAAGCAGAATCAAACAGGTGTTTCAAGGCACTCATCTTTCCTTTTTTTTTTTGCAACTTTTCAAAAAAAAAACCGACAGGAAGTATCGTAAAACACACACGGACACACACACCCTGTTTATTACGAAACTGTTTGTTTACAGCCATCTTTGCAGGTGTTGTCTTTTTCATCCCACACCCCTGGTGTGATACAACCACGGCTTTCCATAGTGTTCATTACAGATTACTCAGAATTGCTCCATCTCGAACCTTTTGAACAAGCAGAAAAACGAGTTTTAAATCTGGACTAACAGGTACCGGGTTCCAGGAGTGTGTGCAGCTTCCTGGAGTTTGTCAGATTCGGTAGGAAAAAGACCTACTGTGAGTCAAAACCCAAGCTCATCTGAAGAGAGTCGGCCAGAAAAAAGGTAATGATATGTTAAGGTAACGCTAAAATAATATAAATATTGCAAAGTATTTACATCTCAGGACTGCAGACAAAACAGTCTGAAAATACAAAAAAAAACAAAAAACAAACAAACTTGAAACTATGAACTGGTTGGTTAACAATAGCACAGAGCACACGCTGCTCTTTGGAGCTGTGGCCCTCTGTTGTGAGAAAACTTAAACTTAATAAACTGATAACTACTCTGAAATAAATGGAAGCAACTGAATGACACAATCACAAGTGTGTTTCTGTTGAAGTTGGACCACCACTCTAGATTACCGTGGTTACCCTTGACACACAACATGGTTGTTCACTACAGGTATTTGAACATTACCCTTTTTTAGATTTGTAATAATTATGACAACTATATATTCCTCCGTCTAAATAAAAATACATTCTAAGCTGGACTCATGCGACGACTGACAGTTCAATGTTTAGTTTTAATGTAATCCAGCGCTGACTGTTGAACAGACACTGAATGATAATAAATAAGGCGGACAAATATAGCCAACTGCCTCGCTGTACAACATCCATACATAATCCTGCTGCTGTAAAGGACTCCACACAGAGTCGGAGCTTCAGCTGACTTCCTGCTCCTGGACAATGGGGAGCATTATGAGGGGAGCGGGTCTTATCAATGACTTTGAGACATTTTCCAGGCCTCACTGTATGCCCCAAACAAAGAACCTGATTGGGCTAACATCTCTAGTCGCCTTGTGTGCGCGTTTTTTTAGATGCGCTCCTCCTCTGGCCTGGGACCACCACATGACTCTCTGCACTCAGCACTGGCTCTGCGATCTGACTATACGGAGAGGGTGAAAATAGCCCCGAACCAGAGAAAGAGAGAGAGAGAAGAAGGAGCCTGATAAATGATCACATGCTCCTGGAGAACTCCTCTCGGCAGATCCGGTGATTAAGTTCAACATGGAAGAACTCCACTGATCCAGTCGACAGAGGAATCTCACAGAGACAGAGAGGGACGTTGAAGGGCGATTACTTTTTTGGGAAAAAAAAAAAACATAGCGTGTTAGTTAAAAAAAATTATTTGACAACCAGGTTTAAGGTAGCAGCTTTGTAGCAGTTCACCAGCAGCACTAAACCCTTTACAAAGAAAGAAAACTGGGCCATATTTGCTTTCCTTCCTCTGTTTGCTTTCATTTCTGATACAGTCAGATGTTGGAGTGTGAGTCAGCTTCAACCACTCATCAGAATCTTCTACTAAGATGTTTTGTACCTGGTCACAGAAGGGTTTCAAACTCCCAAATAAACGGCCCGACAGAGCTGAGACGCACTGGGAGTCGACGGGAGGATGAGGGAGAGAGGATGGAAGGTGCAGAAATAAAAGGAAGGCCGTGGTCCTCAGGGCTCTTTTCTACAGAGGCGTGTGACACTGGGACTCTGAATAAATGCAGTGTGTGCTGCAGTGCCCTACAGAGGAACTGATAACACAGAAGGAGACCAGAAGGGAATTTGCTTTAACACAAGCTTTTTTAACTCTTTCCTCTGCTATTTTCAGTTCATCTAGACTTCATCATCAGCCATGAAACGCTGATTCTCTCACGGCTGTGTTAAGACTGATTCAAGTTTGTAGTTGTGTGGATTACAGCATGTGTGTGGGAGTGATGTAGGGTTTTATTCAGCCTGTTGATCATCGACTGGCAGGATGCAGAAATGTTTTTAAAAAACAGGGTTGTACAAAAAGAATACTGATATCTTCAAACACAAAGTCCTACGTTGACAGAAAGCTAGTCCAGCGTCTACCTCTTCTGTCAAATGACCAACATCCACGGCTCTGGGCTGTGTCTGTTTTTCCTTTTTTTGATACTTACGGAGCATGAATTTTCAAATTTGTCAGAAATTTTTTTTGATACTTCATGAGACTGAGCATGAATTTTCAAATTTGTCAGAAAAAAAAAGTCATGCCTAACATACTGCTGATACTGAACATCACATGATCCTTAATAATGAACACTCTTAGAGCATCTGATGGAGAAGACTCGTGGTACAAGGTGAGCTCCGTGGTTCACAACAGGAGCCTGGACTTATTTGAATTTGTTTTACTGGCTGTTTCATTGAGTGACACAATGAAACAGCCAGTGTTGGGTGGCGAGCATAGTTCTGCAGTGGCATTTGTTTCTATTTGCATAGATAGCTGTTTGTAATCTGCCCTTTTTCCCCATGAGCTCCATGTGTTTTAATGGACATTGTCACGATGAAGCTCAGACCTACATTAACTACAAAATGAGAAGAAAAACTTGTCCCTCACGAAGGCTCAGAGTCTGTGTGAGGGAGTGCAAGTTGATCAGGTTATAGGAGGGCGGAGCCAAATACTATAAAGCATTTTAATTGACCAAAAACTGACTGCATAACTTGGCACCTGGTTCAAAGTGATGCACGCCACACCATTAAGTTGTTACATGCGTCAATACGGGACAGTTTTAGCATATTTGAATTCTGGATTTTTAGATTAGAGCAGCATTTTATTCCTGTTAGCAAGCAAGGCAAAAAATGTGGGTTGGTAAAGAAATCTGACCCAAAATCTTTAACATATTTGGATATATTTGGCTCAAGATTTTGGTATATATTATATTATATGGATATATTTGGCTCAAGATTTTGGTAGAAGCCACAACACGCCCTTCTTTAATGTGGTGTTGTTTGTTTCCTGATAACGTCTCAAGTGTTTTGGCACACAGATAAAGCAAGCAACCACATAGGACAAAGCAGCATTTCTGTCAAGTCACCAAATCTCTTTTTGTCGGGAAATGCGAATGTGAAAACTTCATTATGTCATTTTGACTTTACGTACATTTTTGAAAAACCTTAGAGCCTTTAAATTTGCTACTGTACAAATGTTGACCTGAGCATAAAGAGCACGGTTTCGTAGCTTTAGGCAGTGGTTTTTCCAACGTCCAACATTTCCGTCCAAGGTGTTAAAAGACAACTGGGCCACCCTCCTGTCCGACACTGACCCTGTACATGCATTTACACAAAAGGACACATACACATGCACACATAAACACAAACAGCAAAGTAGTATAGTGTTAGTATTACTAATTGCGTTTTGCAGAAAGCTGCAAAGTAAGCAATCCATAACTCTGCCAAAAGTAACAAAATATTTCTGTTTCTTCCTTTAACCCAAACTTTAATTCTCCCCCTCACACCTGCATCAGTAGTCATTCTCCTCCCAAACTGTGTGGTATATTTTTAAATCTAAATCTAAGCAAAAGGAAACACATATTTGCACGTTGTAACTCTTAAAAGTTGCTGCTCCACACTTCCACTGTTTGCCTGACTGTAACAGCAAACTAGTTTGCAGTGAAAACAATGAAGGCTGCCTTCGCTGTCATTCACTTCCTGATTGGTCAATGGGTTTTAAGTTGTCTGAAAGCTATAAATAACATTTCCACCGAGTTTCAGTTTCACTTTTTCTGTTTCTTGTTAGCAGTACTTTGCAATATTAATAAAAAAAACCTGTGGAGGGAATCAGCTCTGCCTTTACAACAAGCCTATTCATATTTGGTGTGTCTGAATGATCACATGACACACATTTGAAGCTGATACTAAAAAAAATATCCTAGTGTGACTGCAGCCTGGGAGTAAAACCTTAGGAACGTCTTATTCAGGTGATTCACACGTCAGATTCCTGCAGGTAACGTCTGCCAACGTTCTTTAGAGGAGCAGTATGTGTATGTACACAGCACACACACAAACTACTACTAAAACAAATGTGATTGCAACACTTTTTCTCCACAGCTGCCGTTTGTTGCAGGTTAAGAAATGAATGACCTTTGCCTCGCCGTGACATCATCTGCCCAAAAGTTTCCAGGTGAAATGTGCTCACACTTTACAAATTGGCGCCAACCGGTGAAAGACACAGGTTACTGATTGACTCGCAGTATCGAGTATCACGCCTGGTGGCGCTAAGTGACAATGCAGCGATGACAACGATGGCACCAGTGAAGTCTGAGCCCGACGACAAGCGCAGAGGCTCCAGACACAGACGTGTTGTTCCCACTGGCCTGGGAACTCAGAGGCAACGTTCCCCGTGGACCCGGACCACCACACAACACCACATCAGCACAGACTGCTGCTGCGCTGTTACTGTTCTCATTCTACTTCCTATCAGGAGTTCTAAGACTTGCTATTATAAGACATTTAAATAAAAGCCACATACAAAACTAACTTCTACCAACTAAAAGTCCAGAACTCAACACCTGCAGTTGGTGAATCAATCAAACGAACGTTAGCTGAAACTTTCAACACATTCAAACCAGAAAAGTAAAAATTCCGATCAATTCAACCAGAGAAAACGGATCTAATAAAGCTCTAAAACTCTCCATATCTTCCATGAAAGAGCACTCAACTTTGTGTTTATCTATAGCTTAGCATACATTTATCATTCCTGTTTGACAGATCTACATAACCAGTGTCAAACAAGGAACACTTCAAAATTATGTAAAACATTATCTTCATTTCCAACACATGACCTCACGCCACTGAGCAGTTGATCATATACAGAAGAGAATCCACAAACACCACACTGGCTGCAACTCTGAGGGAAAATAAATGTGATTTTAAATCACAGGTTACTGGACATTTTGCTTCCAAACTTTAGAATTAAAAGTACTTTACTTCTTTACTACGTTACTACTTCACAAAGACCTGCTTATGTAACAAATAAAAAAATAAAAAAAAGCATCTCCAATAGAAACAAAGCTGCATCGGTAAAAACAAACGCTTTTAGCCTTAATAAAACAGCAAAATGCTCTCACCACATACTATCCAACACCCACACAAACACAAGAACAGAAAAAGCACATTCCGGTTCATGATTCTTGCAAAAAAACACACACTCAAATCCACATCTTACCTGTGAATAGTCAAAGTCCGAGAGAGGTGCTATGCTTTTGATGTATTCGATTCTGAACTGGTCCTCTGGGTTGGCTAGCGGGACAGGGGGTATTAAAGTGCTCATCGCAGACACTATAGTCTGTAAGGCAAAGTTGTTGAGAAAAAAAGAACAGAAAATGTATGCTAGTGTGAACACAGAACAGGAAATGATTTGGTTTAAGGCACTGATCAACATGAAGGGAACGACCGGGAAAGAAAACTCACCACTATGGCATCCTTCACGTTTTTCCGAATATCTTGAATTTTCTGTTTCTTTTCTCTGCAGTGTGGAGAAAAGAGTTGTGTGAGCTAGTGGTGAATCAAATATAAACACTAGACAACATACAACAAACATTACATACAACAAACTGTATAGTTGCAATGACTTGGGAGTATTTACCAGACACTGACTTATTCCTGAATGTAAAAAAAGGAAATGGCATTGGATATGATCACTGGTTTAAATAGTACATGCAGCTAAAATTGTTTGTTTTTCTCTTTAAGCTGTTTACTGAGTAAAAAGTTGTCTAATGTTTCAGTTGACCCAGAACATTTCTGAAACACCTGCCATGTCTTATATAGTGTCTCTGATCCTACCGTCAAAAGGCGACATGTGGATTTTGGATACTGCATCATTTCACATGATTTTTATAATTTTTTTTCCCTTAAAGAAACTGACAATAGTTTGAAAACACGAGGCCTTGGCGGAGGTTTTACTTCTTTAAAGAGCGCTTCTATGAGGTTCGCAGACTGGCTCCTGTTCTGAGCCTGTTTAAAACAGACCACTGCTAAGATCAATGCCATGCCAGGCCTTCCAGCAAAACAAATCATCAATAGGCCTGTGTCGATCGCAACCTTTCACCCTCTCACATACGAAACAGGAAACAGTGAATTAATTGGCATCTGTGTGATAGTGAGAGTCTCTCATATGACAACAGCGCAAAACAGACAGGGAAACAGTTGATCCTAGGAGACGTCAACGACAGTGTCCCAACAAACGCTCCACAAGTTACAGATTTTACAAGGTCAGAGTCTTGTGCCAGTAGAATTTTCTTGATGAGATCTAGAAAAAGTCATTTAACAGCAGGTCAATGTGACTTGACCAATTATGAACTAAATACTAATTCATAGACACAATCTCTTCAATACCCTTTTCTCAGGCACTGTAGGAAACGTGGCTAATGTGAAAAACCTTCTGTTTCATTTGTTGGTTTTTCTCTATAAAATGTGTACATGGAGCAGAAGAAACACAAAAGGTTATTGATCTGTAAGTTTGTGTTTGACCGTTGATACTTGCAGAATCTCTGTTGATATGTAATAAACTTAATAAACTTATCTTTATTTGTCATTTGTGTCCCTTTAACATTAGCTGTGTTACAATTACAGTTAGTTGTTACTATGTTATTATAATTGTGTGCTCTACATACAGTAGCTGGTATTTTTATGCTGTATCTCTGCTTCTGAGTCTTCTTTAGATTTACTGGTCCAGTATCTGGGTTTTGTCTCCTTTTTCTTTACAAAAAAACTCTACGCAAGTCGTGTGAAGTACAAAACCCACTTCCAAATAGTCTCTCTAAAATGAGTAACATCCAACATCCAAAGGGCTCCGTAATAAGCAGGCTAACCGGTAATAGGTGTGGTAATGGTATGGTTATCAAAAGGCTGCCTTCACCAGAGCCATGTTCTGGTGAAGCAAGGATGTGCTGCAATCCAACACAGGACACATGTCACAATCTAAAGGTAACGTAATGAGCAAAGTGTGTTCTGCTGTCTGATAATCTTACAGCTCAGCTTCTACTGGAGAAAAACTGAACATCAGAACCTATGTGCCAGAAACCAGCCAGACGGTTACCAGCAAACGGTGCAAAAGTTTTGTCATTTCACGGGGCTGCGTCATTATTTTGAAGGTAAAGCTTTAACTGTGAAGTCTGTGTACGACAGTGTCATATGCTCTTTTCCAGGAACTCCAAAACACTATTGAAAGTGTGATCATAAGAAAATGTCATGTGACCCCCTCGTAAACTTGCCTCTTTCCCAGAGGCATAAAAGTGGTGGGACATGACCCATCCTTGAATACACCTCTGTCAGACACTGCATTTATACACAGTTTCAATTCCCAGACCCGTTAATAGCTCATTTACTAATTAGTCAGAATCCCCAAATGACAACAATATAACGTAGGAATAATCAGTGCATTAAGCATTCATATAACCAAAAGCTACAGAATTATTATTCATTTTTACTGGACTCTGAGACTGTGCATCAGCCGCTGTGGGAATGAGGTTCACAAACGGTTAGCAGCCATACAGTGTATGTACAGTAACTTACATATTTACTGTTGTTTTTTCTTTAGTGTTAGAACAGTAAATGGTAATATTTTATTTAATGATATAATGAGAAAAGGCCCCCCCCCGCCCTCGCTCCCCTATCTCAACATTCTAGATCCGGGCCTGGGAGGAAACAGGGAAGGAGACAGAGGGGAGAGATATTAGCTGCTTTGCATGGGATACTGGGCCCAACAGGCGCTGCAGTGCCTGGGGAAAATCCATTCAGTCTCGACTGTGGTACAACGACACTGCTCGTCGTGTAATGGGAAAGACGTGAGAAATAATCTGAAATATAAATGTTTCTGAGCCGCGGAACGTTGAAGTGAAAAGCACTCACTCTGCGTTGAAGCCGTTGACGTGTAGAATCCTCATCTGCTTCACAATGGTGCTTTTTCCGGACTCTCCCGCACCTTCGAAGACACAGCAGAGAGAAATAACACAAAATGTCACCAGGATTAGCACAAAAGTGGTAGTGGTGGGGGGACATTTTGGATTTTCTACCCCCACCCCCACCTACAAAAAACAGTATTTTTAAGGCAAAGGAAGGCAGCTAATTGTAGGCTGTGGTGGAGCTTCGCTTCCATCAATATCCACCCCCATGACATATTATTGCAAGCGCTGTCAAATGAAGCGACGTGTTCGGTAAACGAAAGGGATTACATTTAGCTTAGCTTACATTTCACACAGCACCGTGACACCACACAGCAGCCTTACCCAGTAATAGGAGCCTGTGCGTGGCTTTATACGCTTGTCTTTCCTTCTGTAACTGTTTTTCTATCTTTTTATTCGCCTCTCGCTGTGCCTTTTCGTCGATGCGTTGATCTTCAGTCTTGCTGTTGCCCAAACAACCCATCTTCCGTCGCCCTAACCCTTCCTTCTGGAATCGTAAAACTGTATATAATGGCGTATCTGCACAAAATTAACGCCACAAAAATGGGTCTAATGTAAAATAAAAAATAGAGGGGGGTAAATCTCGTCGAGGCTTCTCCGTCGTAGGGAGGAATACGTTCCCCGTTACAATTCCGCTTCAGCCGCAGCCGATCGTCATCCACAGCGCCTGCTAGTTCACAAGAATGGCGACACGGCGAAAGACAGAAACAAACACCCCCTCCCGAAAAACACATACAAATAAGAACCAAAAAAGGAGGAGAGACAGAGAGGGTTTTTCGATTTCTCTTAATCCAGTACAATGTTTCCTACCGCGGCTCCAACCCCTCTCTTCTCTCCGTATTTTTTTTCTATGTGGATTTCTATCAGCATTTCTGCCTCTTTAACTCAGCACTGCCTCTCTCTGTGGCACCAGGAAGTAGCCGGGGAGCGAGGAGGAGGAGGCGGACGAGGAGGAGGGAGGTGGGGGTGTAGAAAACAAACGTACCCACGTTCAATCGTAATACTAATAACAGCGAGGAAATATTTTATAACCTGTTACAACAATAAAAGGTGAATCGCGTGAGACTAAGCGAAAACATTACACTGTGACAACAAATAATTTAATGTAAAACAATTCAAGTGATGATGAAATATGTTTTAAATTAATAAAAAAGTATTTTATTGTTAACTCTAGACTCCACCAACCTCTACATAAATGTGGGTTTACTGTACTCATGCCGCCATGTTGGCTCACCAGGATTTGATACTTGTCCAACGTGGATTTCATTTGTATTCACGAATAAAAATCACAAACCTCTTTCACTTGTCCAACGTGGATTTCATTTGTACTGCAAGTTTCACGAATAAAAATCACAAACCTCTTTATATTATATATATTAAAATATTTAATATTTATATTAACATTGGAGGTTGCATGTATGCACATTTTAAAAATAAATAACTGAAAAGACAAAGGTCATTCATTGAGATATGGCACACAAATAACTAACAGGTTGAGGGTGCAGTAAAACACAGGTTTTTATAATGTCAAGGACACCATTTTTTCTGCTTGTTTCTTTCTTTCTTTCTTTCTTTAGTTAATTGTTTTTTCTTTCGTTCCTAAGTATCTGAAAGCTTCAGGGTGGAATTGTTGTCCACTGCAAGTTACCTCCTGTAGGTGGCAGTATTACAACTCACTAATAATTTGGCGAAGCTAGGTCACAGGGGAGAATGGCTTTTTTAAAAATATTTTTATTTATAATTTTATGGAGTAAATGTACAAAAATGTAATGTTTGATCATGAACAAACTCCCCACACAGTGTTGAGTTCAGTGTAAAACAAAACGTCACTTGTTACTTCCGTTTTTCATCCACATTTGCATAAATATATGTGTAGTACACAGAAGTGTCTCCATGGTATCATTTTTATGTTACATAAAGTCCTAAAAAAGTATGTGTAGTAGAATATGTTGCTAAATGTTGTTGCAACATAATACACACTACACACTAGCACGTAAAAATATAATTATAATATTTATGACTATTATGTCATGAACTGATGCTTTATAAGAACAAAATATAAGAACAAAATCTTACTGTGGTATGACGCATGTATTCCACTATTACTATACTACATTTAATAGCATAACCATGAATGTATTTGATGGAATATCCAGAATGAATAGCAGAAAATATCTCAACAGTATTCACACTGTAACTGTAACATACTACCTTTACCAGAAGGTAGTATTACTACAAAGAAACACATAAAATCGTAGATGCCGACATAAAGATGCAGTACTACAGATAGACCCAGACAGGTTGTACATAAACTACAGTGTAGTACTGCAAGTCATGACATTTAGCAGCAACTGTTGCGAGTACCGTCTGATATTTCCGGCTACTTCTCACAGTCAGACCGAAGTGAGACGTAAACCTGGCCGACCCGACTTCGGACTCTCCAACTGAGACTACACACAGTATGCAAATGTGGGATGGAGAGCAGAGCAGAGAGGATGCTGCCTGGTCACAGCATCACACTGAGGAAATGATGGGCCAAATGTTTCAATGTTAAAACTGATGCTTCTAGAAATTTCACATATATAATTTTTATACATATATATATATATTCTGACCGTGCTGTGCATGTATAAATTACAGAAACATAGAGGAATACTGTTCTGGACAACCATGAATTACTTTTTATGTAACATGAAACAAAGGAGTGCTGTTACTGTCTCCTTTATGCAAACCCAACGCAAATACCTAATATCATGTAGTAAAACGAGTGCAACAAAGTTGTACATGCAAATCAGGACAGGGACCGTCGCCTCACCTGTATTGTGGTGTGAAAATAGCACCAGCCCCACCCCTCCCCGACCGAAGCCTCACAAATCCTGCCACCCCACTTCACAAGGCAAGGTCAAAAACACTGACTGTGCCCACATCGCCCTCTTGTGGTCCAAAGCAGAATTGCACACATGTGGCAAACGTCAGGTCTCTGTGAACGTTACACTATCAAGCTGTGTTGCGCAAATTTGTTTTTTATTTCAAGGATTACGGTTCGATTTTTATAACTTTTTATATATATATATTTATGACATTGATTTCGTGCTTTTGGGGACATGTAGTCTTAATAGGAGCCAAGGCCAAAATTTAAGTTTGCAAAACCTCATGAACATGTGAACAGCAGTCAGGATGAAGTGTGAATATTCATGAAGAACGATTGTGCAGTAATGCAACCCATTGGATCCAAAACCCAAAAGAAGGTGTGAGGGAGGTCAGCAGCAGCGGTTTAGTAGGAGAGACACATTGTATATTTTGAAGCTTTAACCAAATAAAGGTCAGGGGCCAAAACCAGAAAATGAAAATGAAAAAGCTACAGATTAACCAAAAGGAGCAAATTAAACTGCACTGAATTTAATAATCATTAAACTAAGTCGAGGATATGCCAATGTCTTCCATCAAACTCTTTCACAAACAGATAAAGGTTAGAAATTAAAATAGATTGAAAATGAACAAAAGATAGTTTATGAATATACAGGAAACGTTTAAATCATTTACCCAGAATAACTAAAAAATAGCCAAGCAATGAGACATTTAATAGAAAAAAATAGGTCAATGTTAACCTTTAGTTAAATACAGGCCAGAAATATATAAAGTTATTCGAAAGACTTTTCATAAAACTGACCTGGAAATGATCCAAAATGCACATGTCATAGGGGGCGCTAAAATGCCTCTGTAAACGTGAAAATACAGCAGTTCTGTTTGTTTGTTGTTGTTTTTTTTAATCTAACGCAGATATTTTTAGTAGAACAAAAGCAGATCTCATCTGTAAAATGGCAGCTGCACTGCGTTCATCTGGGCTTCCATGATGTATAGATGCTTTTCTGTTGACTCTCTGTAATAATTGCTGTTTCATAAAAACATCAGCCGTACACCGATACATTACCTGTGTGGCCTGGTGAAAAGAACTCTGGGGCTAAAACCTAAGAATATCTAACACTGAAAATAGCCCTTTTCTTCTTCACTTATTTACAGGCTCTGGCTGTAATTGAAGCGTGTACCGTACAAACAGGGCAAACATCCAAGTGATATCCAGATAAAATTAGCCTCCTTCAAATCTTTTTTTCCCCTTAGGCTAGAAAAAAAAAGTCAAATCATGGAGATCAGCCACAATCTCAACATCTTTCTAAATAAAGTTTTATTTTAAGATGGGACTCCTCTTGACAGTCCACACTGTGTGCCCCCCCCCGCCCCCTCCACCCCCACACATCCCATACCAAAATTATAAACATGTCATTAATTTACCGCCCAGTGTATTCTTGAGGACTGCATTTGCCGGGAACAGTTTGTAGCAAAGTTCAAAGCAGTCAAGTCAATGATAAAACCCATTCAGACAGAAGCAAAGTTCACTGAACTTCACATGTATTT